GTCTGTGGCTGTCCACTGCTACCAGGACCTGGGGATCCTTCCAGACCAGCCTGGAAAACATTCACCATGGAGGCCTTTGCATCCTGGCTGTAAGGTATGTGGCCCATGACCTTCCTTGATCTTTGGCATCGTTCTGAAAAACTCACAAAGCTCGCCAGTCCATTTTGTTTGGTTTTTTAAATAACATCAAAGACCACAATGTTCCCTCGTTTGGTCACTATGACTCAGAAAGTGACCAGATTAACCACCTCCTCTCCAAAGCTGCCTATTTCTCATTTTCAGGATTAATCCTGGTAACAGTTCAGATCAACCTGTCAGTGCTGTGATGTGATTGAGTGTTCAATAATAATTAATGACCATAATGACAATAATAATAATAGATGATGATGAAGGTAAGAACCATTTATGGGGCCCTTGCTGTGTGCCAGGCATTGTGCTTGGGATCTGATCAGCTTCCTTGCCCTCACATTATCCACATGACAACTGTACAAAGGAGATACCCCATTGACCCATTTTATAAGTGAAATAACTGAGGCTCAGAGAAGGCATACAGCACAGCTAGGTGGCAGAGCCTGTACTAGAAGAAAAAACAAAGCAAATCATTTAGGTCTTATCGATTCCAAAACTTCTAAAACCCATGTTCTTAATGGAACATTTTTAAAAATTGTGACTGAATATATAGAGGGTGCCAAAAAAAACGTATACACATTTTAAGAAAGGAAAAAACTATTAAAATTGTAATACTCAATATATACTGATAACAAAAGATGAATATGTCATGTGTATACATTTTTTTGGCACCCCTGGTATATAACATAAAATTTACGATCTCAACCATTTTAAGCATATAGTTCAGTAGTAGGTACATTCACAACCAATCTCTTTTCATCTTGCAGAACTAAAACACTACACCCATTAAACAGTAACTCCCTACTCCCTCTCCCCTGCACCCCCCTCCACCCCTGGAAACTACCTTCCTACTTTCTGTCCTTATGAATTTGCCTATTCTAAGTACCTCATATAAATGGAATCATACAGTGTTTGTCTTTTTGTGACTGGCTTTTTTTACTTTGCATAATCTCCTTGAGGTTGATCCGTGTTGTAGCATGTGTCAGAATTTCTTTCCTTTTTAAGGCTGAACAATATTCCATTGTACGTGTATACATAATACCACATTATGTTTCCATCCATCCATCGATGGACAGTTGGGTTGTTTCCACCTATTGGCTACTGTGAATAATATTGCTATGAACATGCATGTACAAATATCTCTTTGAGTCCCAGACTTCAATTCTTTCGGGTATATACCCAGAAATTGAATTGCTGGATCATATCGTAATTCTATTTTTAATTTTTTGAGAAAAGGCCATACTGTTTTTCACAGTGGCTGCACCATTGTGCATACCTATCAGTGGAGCATAAGGTGGGACATTTTTTTACCTCTTAGTTTCCATGATTGTAGGAACTAGGGAACTTAAGGGCCCGGATATGAACTGGAAGGCTGTACAAAAGTCCCCGAGCTCCGCTGCGTTCGGCAAAGCAGGGCCTTCAAAGCAGGGCCTTCTCCGCCGGTCCCAGCGGTTGCCTCTGCACCAACCAGAGGTTCTCACTGATACCCTAGCCTCTAGCCAATGTGCTGAAAACTGCTCCAGGCTGGGTGTACACAGGCTCCAGCTGCATCTTGGAGATTCATCTCTAGGATCCAACAATGTGATCGTTTTTTGACCATTAGGAATCTATGCCCCCCTACCCCCTCCTTTATGAGATCCCCCCCACCATGGTTTCCTAGAAGAATTCCACAGGCTCTAGGAGCACCCCACTTCCCTGACAGGGCTCTGCAGACTCCAGGGAGCTCAGGTGGGGGCTCTGGCCCCAGGAAGAGGGTTTCGTGGTGGTGGTAGTGGGTTTTTAATTCCCACCAGTGGTGTGGATGGCTGCCTGGGAGGAGGGCCAGAAGATGGTGCCAGTAGAGGCCTTTGTCATTCTCCTCTTCTGGGGTCAAAGTCAGAGTCAATGGAAGGGAACTAGATCAGGATGGATGTTCAGGATGCAGAGAGACATGTTTAATGCTCTCAGGGAATTTACAGTCTTACCCCAAATCTGATGAGCTGAGCTGATCTCCTAAATCAGGAAGGAACTTCTACTCTTGGTCTCATCCCCAGCAGATGGTAGGAAAAATGATGGCTGGGGATTGAGTCATCTAAGTGTTTGCCTAGATCTCATCATTCTGTCTAGACCTGCTGTCAGTTCCATTTTTCACCTATAACTCCTGGAAGAGAAAGAATAAATAAGGCATCTAGGTAAGTTTTAGAGAGCACAGTGCAGTGGGATTCAGAGTCCAAAATGTCATAGTTTAGAATCCCTGCTCTTTGGGCAACGTCCCTCGGTGCTCTGAGCCTTGGTTCCTGCTCTATGAAAGGACCATGAGTGACTTCCCCAAAGCAAGTGTTTTAGGAGTGACAGTATATGGAAAGTACCTGACACTTAATCGATGCTCAATAAATATAAATTCTCTTTTCTGACCTAATTTCCTGGATCCTTGAGAGCAGGAAGCAGTAATTTACTGAATATGAATGTGATAAATCAGTAAGTATGTTTATTTTGTTGTAACATCACCATTGCTTGAAACATAGTAACTGGGAAAGTTTCTCAGGTGATGGTGGCTACACTGCTAGGCCAAACATGCAGCCAAACATGAAAACGCCGCTGTGTGTGAAGACAGGCCTCCTGCCACAGATAAAGAAAAGCAGTATTTCACTGAGGCATAGAATTATAAATAGCAGCATTCACAGGGTCCTTTGATCTCCTGTAGACCAAGGATGAGAACATGTCGCACTTACAATGCCATCCCCTCACCGCCATGCTTTGGAGAGGGGGTGGTTAATCTGGTCACTTTCTGAGTCATAGTGACCAAACGAGGGAATATTGTGGTCTTTGATGTTATTTAAAAAACCAAACAAAATGGACTGGCGAGCTTTGTGAGTTTTTCAGAACGATGCCAAAGATCAAGGAAGGTCAGGGCCACATACCTTACAGCCAGGATGCAAAGGCCTCCATGGTAAATGTTGTCTAGGCTGGTCTAGATGGTTGAATGGAAGAACTGGAATATGAACACAGATATAAATTTTGGCCTTTTCAATAAAAAGATTTATTTCTGATAGAAAAAGTCATGGAAATTTACAGCCATAATTCTGGGTGGTTTTTGAAGAGGTTATCATGAACCTTCCATCACCTCGTTACATCCCTATCATTTACATCAAGAGTCATTAAACACCTATGGCCCCAAACGCCCCAGATGAAAAGCCAATAAACCCAGGGATCTTTCCCCTCCAGGGATGGCAGAGCCCCTTAGGTTCTCTGGGAGAGGATATCAGAAGAGGGTAGTTAGGAAACTGTGGAATCTCTCACTCACTTTCTTTTGCTCTTGCCAGTGATCGGGTCTGAGACCTGCTGCCACTGAAGAGGGGTATTCTAAGTAGGTAGCACATGTCCATATCTGAAAAAGTTGGCCACTGGAGCATTTCAATGATGTGATGTGGAAAATACAGCCACAGGGAAATAGTGTGAATTTTCCATAGCCTCATAATTCAGGGCCTCCCTGAAAAGGAAGCAGGTACAAAAGGCAAAGAGAGCCTACTGCCTCGTAAGTAGTGGTCAGGATGGAAAAGATCCTGGCTGAAAGATGGAAGGAGGCCTGTGCCCCAGGCCGTTGGGTCCACCGGGGCCTCAAGGTGGGCAGAGGCCAGTAGATTCCTTCCTTCTGAATCCCTGGGAGCAGCAGGACTTGGGCTCAGCCCCACATGTACAAGTTTCCCACCCAGCACCCTTTTGCTTTTTCAGTGCTTCCAGGATCCTGCTTTTCCCAGTGATGTCTCCCGGAACCTCCTTCCCCAGGGAGAACACACACCCTGTAGCAGAAAGGCCAAATCAAAGGCATATAGTCACACTCAGTGCCTGCCTTGGCAGAGCCGCTCCCCTCCTCCGCCTGACAGCTTTGCTAGGATTTGGAGAGTGACAGAAAGGAAAGAGAACTAATATTTATTGAGCACCTACTATGTGCCAGGTAATGTGTGACCGGTCGTTCCATACTCCATTTGGAGTGTATGCTCTTTTCCTTAATCTTACCACACCCACCTAAAATAGGGGTGACTACCCTTGCTTTAAATAAAAGAAAGCACAGACTGACTTGCCAAGGTCATACAGCTAGTCCGTGGCAGAGCTGGAATTTGGAAATAAGTCTGACTCCAAAGCCTACTCCCGCTGTGTAACCCTACCTTCCCAAAGGGCCACGTGGGCAAGTCAGTAACAGTCATTGAACATCTGGCACATGCCATGGTATTTGGACATACTCATTACCCTTAATCTTCCTGGCAATATCGTTGGTTGGGTTTGATCATTCCCATTTTACAGATGAGGAAACTGAGGCCCAGTAATGTTAAATGATTTACCCAGGCTTGCCCAGTAAGGAGCACTGAGGAAGGAAGCTGCTGACTT